TCCTACCTGAAGCACGGAAATCAAGTAGTGACAGAAGATGAGAGCAATCGACGTCACCGTTGAGTAATTTCGCTATAAACGTAGCCTGTTGTAGCTTACGTCTTCGATCAAGCATTTCGAGGTCACGCAGACGACATCTATCGGGATATGCTGGAAGGTTCAAAGGATCACACCACGGTAGATTTCTGAGCGCAAGTCGTATGAATCTTTTTTGCACACGCTCGATTCTTAGATTCCATGATACGTCGTTTGGAGCCCATACAACTGAAGCATTTTCTAGGATCGGCCTTACGAGTGAACAGTACAATGCTTTTAGGCAGTGTGGATCCGTGAAATCCTTGGCAATCTTAGAGATGAAGCCAAGTTGACGATTAGCCTTGGAAATAATCGATGCATAATGGGAATGGAAGGAAAGCTTCGAGTCCAATACGACACCAAGATCCGTCACTTTATCCACTCTGCTAAGAACAGTATCATCGATGTGGTATTCATAAATTAACGGGTCTTTGGGTCGGGTGCGGGACACCGGACGTGCTAGCAAATGGCGATGAAACATAAGATCCGTGTTTAACGTACAGCATTCTGCCAGTCAAGTACGATGACAACCACGACACCAATCGATTTGAGGCTCCCAATCGCTATAGCTTGCTGAGCAACACTTTATGATCAATTTTGTCAAAAGCCGCCTTTAGGTCCGTATAGATTACGTCAACCCTCGCTTTATCTTCCATAGCCGAAAAACAGGTAGCAGTTATACCCCGTTCACATTACAGCGTATATCACGTGATATACGCTGTCTTGCAATGAGCACTCATACATCTAATTTTCACTGGAAATCCTATGTATGTGTGCTCATTGCAAGACAGCCTATATTACGTGATATAGGATGTAATGTGAACGGGGTATTAGATCCAGCAAGTTAGTAGCAACAGACCTTTCGGGAATAAATCCACGTTGATCTGACTAAATGTGGTTTGAAAAACGTTTGCCGTAATTTAAGCTGAACAATGCATTAGGTCCTAGGGAGCATTGACAGATTCTCTTCGTCGAATTTCGCTTTGCATCGCCACGGCCATGCTAAGACATTCCCAACTATTTTCAACACACAGATCGACGACAGAAGTTCGAGAGTGAGCATGCATAAGGGCGTATACGCGATGATTGATTCTCTTCATCGCTATTCTCTTTACATTGCCTACAGCTAAGCGAAACAATTTTCTAGAATTTGTTCAATGCAGTACTGTAACAGGTTGTATTGGATATCAAAAGCATCAGCAAACGTACCTAGAAACGTTAATCCAAGCGAGTTATCAACAAAAGAGAAAGTCGACGAAGAGAATCGATCATCGCGTTTACGCCCTTATGCATAAGGCCTGTACTCGAAAAAAAAACACCAGAGAAAAGTATTCGCCAAAAATTTATTTTATGTCGGATTTTCTTGAAACTTTCAGGGAATGAACTAATACATATGGATTATGTTTCGGCATAATTACTTTATTCAATTTCCTTTCCATCGCTGAAAGCCCGCACCTTTCCCTTAAGACCCCTCATTACATTTTGTGCAATGGTGGAGCCGACCTTTTTGGTCACTTTCATCCATTCTTTCTTCAACTCCAGCTCGTTCTTAAACACCTTAGACGATTTTCGAACTTTGGCCTTCATTATGGCCCAAAATCTTTCCACCGGACGAATCTCTGGTGAATTTGGGGGGTTGGCGGTTTTTGGTACAAAAACAAAGTTATTGTCTCTGTACCAAAATAATGTCTCGCCTCTGTGGGACCGCAGGCAGGGTAACAGACGCTTCTGGAGGCACTCGGTACGGTAAATTTCGCTGTTGATGGTACCCATTGTGATGTACGGTTTACTCAGTTTACCGCATTGGCATATGGCCTGCCAGAGCAAGTATTTTTTGGTGAATTTGTCCACTTTCTTCTTCTTTATGTCTTCCGAAACATCAAACCGTGATTTGGCAACGTAGAACTCCAGCCTCGGTATCTGCTTTGCGTCTGATGTAGGTTTCGTCATCCATAACCACACACATCGGTTTCGTTAACCACTCTCGATACAGCTTCCTTGCGCGGGATTTTGCCGCCGTGTTTTGTTGATCACGCCGCTTCGGTGCCTTCCGGACCTTGAATACACGAAGCCCAGCTCGTTTCATGGTTTGCTGAACGAACCAGGCGGAACACTTTGCCTTCAGAGCCGCGTCAGGATCAGCTGTCTTAGATTTTCTTCCACTTCCAGCCCGCCGCTCGATCGTCTGGGACTCCTTAAACGATTTTACTACCCAAGACACAGTTGTATGGGTGATTCCCAGTTGTCTTCCGATCCATCTCATGGTCGCAGACGGATTTTACATCACGGCGTGCAAAATTCTCCGGCGATTTTCTTCTTGTTTCGATGACATCTCAATAACCACTAAACCGATTGTTATGAAATTTTGCACATGTAAACAATTCACTCTAAACTAGTTATACCCAGATTTTCATCAACTTTTACCCACGGATAAAAATGTTACACACGGCTAAAAATGGTGCATTTTTTTCGAGTACAAGCCTTACTCACTGTCGAGTTGTTATTTATCTATTACGACAAACACGTCAAGAAACGGTTCTGTACCCAAGTTATTAACGAAAGAGAAGGTCGATGAAGAGAATCGATCAATGTTACTTCGGATCTAATGCAATTTTCAGCTTGAATTGCTGTTGTTGTTTTACTAAAAAAGGATATTTTAACGCATTTAAAAAAATACTTTCTGACGCTAAAAATAGTGACTGGCTTGAAAAGAGTGAGCAAGTCACTAAAAAATGACTCGTCGCTATGCCAAACGGGGTAGCCTCATCCAGAGGTTATATTCTTCCGGCAATCTTTCTTCATGTAACCTCGTTTGCCACAAGTGTGACACATTCCGGTAAACTTCTCGCTTGCATGCTTCTTACGATGCTCTCCCGAAAATACAGCAGGTCCCACCACGTTGACTCGTCACTCAGCAACCGGTCTGCATCAACTCGCCATTCGGCCAAACAAGGTTTTCAAACTTCAGAAGGTGCGCTCGTAGTGAAGCGCCCTTCCTTCAATTGAAGACGAGCGATCTGCTTCTTGGCAAACGGATCTTCAAGGGCCTTCCACATCTCCTTCGTTGTAGATTTCTCCCGGTTACATCCCAAGTACTCGCCCGACATCAAGCTCATCGGCCATGACTTAGCCTTACGATCTATGTTATTGCAATTGACCGATTCTTGAGCTTCTGCTGGAACATCCTTCACCACTGCATTCCTCACATTCGAGGCTTCGAAAGTTAAGAGCAGTTGACCCATTCCAGGTGACGCAGATTTTCAGTCCAGTTCAAATCTATAATAGACTTCTCACTAATGTAAAGTGCACCAATGGAAAGTAGACATGATTTACTTTGTACAATCAATATTTATGAATATAGTTCTTAATAATTGCTACTAGAAGTAAAACACTGCGTGACGTGCAAAGCGACCTGAAAATATCATTTTTTGGACTTCAACCCTAGTTTGTTTTAAATTTCCCGGTAAGTAAAAATGTTTTGATATTACTAAAAGATAGTTTCAAACAAGTTCTGGCTAGAGTAAACACCAATTAAAAGTAAAAATAAGGACTGTAGTTGAAAATTCATGAAATGGGTCATGTCATCGTTTTACAGGTACAAATACCTTCTCCTTTAAGAAAACAGATCAAAATTCTATGGATTGACATTTTTTTTCGACATCCCGATAGTTTCAGAAAGAGTGAGATATGTGAAATCTCACACTTGGAAACATGTTTAAAACCCGAAAACGTAGACGTTTAAAAATCAATGTCCCCCAGACATGGAAATAATTTCAAAAATCTAAGACTAACAAATATTTTCGAAATGCCGGCCATCGAAAAAAAACAGTTGGGAGGGATTACGATCCCTGATTCGGGTATATCCCGGTAAGGGTACTACGAATAAAATACAATTGTATGTCGCCAGCAAACGGAACGTGTCACAAGCGGAACACTCCTGCAATAATGGATTGATTGCAGAAGCATTCACCCCAGAGCATATGGGCAAAAAAAACGATATCTACGACTCAAGCAAGCCATATTCTCGCCCCAATCTCATCAAGGCAAATCCATGCTAAATTCCCAAACAGGGCCACACCACTCTCGTCGGCAGCTAACCTACAGCAAGCAGAAAACAGTGCAGACAGACAAGCAGCGGGCGGACGAGGAGACGAACGAACGAACGAACCAAAGTGCGAAAATATTCACACAACATGTGTGTAGAGTACGCCCGAAATGATGAATGACGGTTCGCCGAAGCCCGAGCGGGGTGGCCGGAACGGATCGCGGACGGATATGTGGGGGGAGGGATCGCTGAGGGGACGGACCGAATCGAAACCTTTGCATTGTTTCGAATTTAATAAAAGACGACTCATTGCAGAGCGCTTTCCGCAAAATAGAAAATGAAAAACGAAGAATGATCACTAAATAGAACGAAACACCCTTGAAAAGTCGGGTGCAGGTTTTTGAGAGCGGCCAGCCCACCACCAACTTTGCGATCAATCCGAACGAGGGTGTGCGTGGTCGGTGATTAGCGGAATGAATCTGCGAACGAAAGTCGGCGAAGAAAAATGGAGTCTTCGTGATCTTTCAATTTGGGGCCCGACAAAAATTCCAGCACAAAAAGTGTTATTGTTCTAATCAATAGGTTCAACAATGTCCAGGCGACCATTTTTGCTTCCATTTGTCGATGCATAGGTGGTAATGGCAAAGAAAATTTCCTGACTTTCGATACACTTTCGAATTGCTATCTACCGATTAGTGGCAGAGAAAAATATCCGTAAAAATAAAAGAGACTAAAAACGAAAGAAAAAAACTAAAGTGAATGTGTGTCAGAGTATTTACAACACTCACATTTACCTCTTTATTTTTCTGTTTTCCGAGATTCCGTCGAAATTCGCACGCGGATTTTAAGAAAATAAAACAGACTTAAGAAGAAAACTTACCTCGCACGCAATTAGTGCTGTCCACCTCCTCAAAGATTCCTCCTGCTCTGGTGGTGCTGTTTGGCTCCTCCGAAAATAGACGATTTTTCAAGTTCGACCGCGTCCCGACGCCAGAGACAAGGGAGAACAAGTAGTAACCGTGTCAGGAGTGTCCCAGAAACTCCTTCCCTTCGTTCCCTTCTCCGGCCGGATGTTTAGCAGCGATTGTCCGTGGGTCAAAGTGGCTTCCAACAAAAACAACACCGCGGAGAACGAAGCGAAACGGAACAATCCAACGGGACCCCACGTCGGGACTTACTTTGCGGACATTTTCCAACACTTTCGAACACACACCGAAAATAAGCACGTACAAAAGGCGAAAATTCCTCTTTTCCTCTTTTTAGCCGTCGTGATGATGGCCTTTTCTTTTGCACGTCAATCTTGCTGCTGCTGCTCTGCCGTCTGCTCTTTTCACACAGCAGCGCACATTATTTTCTATTTTTTTCCACTTTTCTTCTCCTTCGACTTTTGACAGTTGTACACACGAACACAAACACGCGCACACATCAACACCAACGCACACAACCACTGCACGCAACGGGCGCAGCAAGAGAACCCTCCGCCTCGTCTTCACTCTTTCAACACGACCCAAAATTTGAACAAACGCGCAAAATGTTACTCACTATTGTTTCACCGCGCGGGGTCACCTAACAATAGGACTTACAATGGCGACCAGCAACAAGATGGGCGAACAGGTTTTCCAAAGTGTGTATTGTTCCCTTTTTGTTCGCCAACTCGCGACGATTTTCTTTTTCTCTTTTGCAAGCACACACAGCGCTCGCTCGCTCGCTTTTCTGATGATGTCCCGCACTCTAATCACACACCGCCGCGCACACAGAAACAACATACAGCCCAGTCTGCTTTTGATATGTCTTGCCTGCCTGCGCTCTGCTCTACTCTGGCTCTGAAGATGGAAACGCGAGAAAACGAACGCAAGACGATCACCCGTCGAGAAAAGATGATGGCAGCTGACTGTCAAAGTGGCGCTCAAAAAATATGTTGACAGCTTGTGGATCGTATTTGGTTACGGCGGTTTTACAGGGTACCAAACTGTACACGCAATTTTAAAACCACTCAAATTTGGGATGAATCCACCCTGATTGGTTAAAACCTACCTGGGAGAGAGAATCAGACTAGACAAATATGAACGTCAAAAGGAGTCAAAATCAAGCTGTCACGAACTGTCATTGGGAGCCAAGCAGTTTGATGATGCTTTTCTAACAGGTCAACAAGAATACACAAGGCGGTAGTGAATTCTTGCGTAAAGTAATCTATGACAAACTTTCGTGTCCAGCTATCTTTTTCAAAGGGGCACTGTTTTTTTTAAATTCATTCATTGAATATATTCAAATCGAGGGATGCGGGAATCTAAGATGCAGGAAATTTTGACGTAGGAGTACATCTTTAATTTCTATAGACTTCCCTAATAAAAAATAACCATAAACGAACGATAACCCAAATAATAGAACTATTCCACAAATGGTTTAGATGATACCCGGAATACGTCGTTAAGCAAAATAACCATAACAATGTTATTAGGGTTCTCTAACGTTTGTGAATTGCACAAGTATTAGTGCAGAACTTTGGGTAAATTCAAAGGTTTTCTTGCACTAATACTTATAATTTACCCCGAGTTCTGCACTAATACTTGTGCATTTCAACGTCAGAGAAGTCTATACTGGGGGTCACATTAAAAAAAATCAAAATTCAGACATGTAACGAAAAATCCCAAACACGGACGTAACGATCTCAGTAACGATAGAGCACAAATCGGACAAACGACACATATGCTCACATGAGCGAGCTCACCGCTCGGTTGACCGCTCACAATTTCACCAATGAATGGAAGGGAGGAGAAAAGCAGCGGTAATGAAAACGCTTGCCAAATCGTTTTCTTCGTCATTTACTTTCGAGCAACGGACGGATAAGCGTCGGACACGACGTATGAGTCGAACAGCCTACTAGAGATGAACTAGCCTAAGGCTAAAAATCTCTTTAATAAAGCTTTAAAAAAAATGGAACAGCCTAGGATCGGGCGATCTTTAGTAAAAGACCGAGCTTGGAGGATCGAGTTTATTTACAGCACTAGAATAGATCCATCGATTTAAGGCCTGTATAGAGATCGAAGCGAAGCGATAACCTCATACAAAATACTAAATTTTTCACCTGCGTGAAAAACACAATTGGCAAATTTTTCACTTCGCTTTGAACTGGAAACAGATACGATCCAGCGAAATCTAATTTTGTGGATCGTATCTTTTTCGCTTACGTTTATTTTTTCGCGCATGCAGCGCTAGCGAAAAGAGCAGCAGCTAAGCGAAAAGTTGACGTTTCGAGAAAGAGCGTATCTGTCAGATTTTCACTTCACTGGAGGTGTAAACTGATCGATTTCGTTCCACATGAACTGCAAACTGCGAAAAAAGGAAACTGGAAAATGTTCCACAAACATTTTTTTCATAACCTTTTTCGCTAGCGAAATTTAATGAATTTTTGGCGTGCTTCAATTTTCGTTTCGCTTTGATCTGTGTACTACACTGTTAGAAAAAAGTACCCAAAATTAATTTCTTTTCACTCATCTCGGCACTAAAGTGCAGGAACCCAAAAGTAGGTAAAGCGGGTCAAAGTAATTTTCATTTACTTGTGTGCAGTTCGTATGGAATTTTCCACTAGCTTTTTAACCAAAAGTAGTTGTACCCAACAGTAGGTAAATATTACTATACCCAACGTTGGGTTCCCACACTTTACTACCCCTGTTGGGAGGTTTTGCTCCTTCTTTTTTGACAACATTAGAAGGAGAAAATGAGACAAACTAGTCAAAAGTAGGTAAAAGTGAACTGGCCGTTGGGTACTTTTTTCTTACCGTGTAGGCTTTAATTGGTACAAAAGACTCGATCTTTGCAGGATCGATCTTTTCTTCATAATGCTGAATTACCGTAATGCACTGAATACTGGACGGTTGGTTAACCCTCGGGTTAACCCGGATATTTAAATTATAGTTAAATATTACGTCTACTTTGCAAGATAACTAATATGTGTGATTCAGATCGATACTAAAACACGTTTACGTGCTTTTTGAGCATAGTAGGCAGTGATAATAAACTTTTAAAAGTGTTCGGATCTATGGGCTAAGTATCCAAATTTCTAGTCTTTACGGTATATTTTTAAAATATAAATTAAATAACAAAAATAACATGTTTCAATTTTCATTTACTCGTGTTTTTCGAGAGATTTGTTTATTTATCAGAAGAATTTATTTAGAAGCATATAAATAATATTTTGTATTAGTAGGCTACAATAAGAAGTTATAAGGAATGTGTTTCCCATATAAAACCTGCCAATTTTGCTTTCAAAGAGTAACAATCAGCGATGCTCGGATCGCTGTTCGCGAAAAATCAAGAATGTGTGAAATTGTCAGGTTTTATGAGTGAAACCAAGCGGTAAGTCACTCAGCACATCCATCGGCACACCTTCGGCATAATCTCGTAGGCGTTTGATGGTTGTAAATAAAATGGGAGCACTGCTGATCACTGAAGTTATTCATAACATTACGTGCTGTTTGACTGTATTATCAGGAACACCCTCTAATTAAATATACCAGATGAACTCAGAACAGCAGTTCACTTCTTGGTTCACTTATACACAGCAAAAAAAGTTGTTGAATATTACATCCAAACTGCTGCAACCAGGTCAATCCATCGGTTGTGTAATATCACATTGTACGATGTACATCGATTTTGCGAACAAAATTACATCCATTGATGTAATATTGTATCTGCTTTTTGCTATTACATCATTATTTCATACATCAGCATGAATTACGTTGATTGATATTACTTTTTTTTTTGCTGTGTAGATTTAAATCCGAAAAACCGATTTATCCTTGCGATTTCAAACCAAAACATTCAAGGTGTCAGAAATACCGGGTTACCGGGATAGGTATTTTACAAAAAATCGCAGCTTGCTCTATGACCGGCACAATCGGTACACTTGCGGCACACTGAAAAAAAAAGATGACCCAAGATTGGTGTGCTGAGTGACCTACCCCAAGGGGTTAGTCACTCAGCACATTGTGCCGAAATTAGATTCGGCACAACTTGAGCATCCTCCATTGGCTCACCTACAGCATACCTTCGGCATGTCTTCGGCACACATTCGGTACAATCTCGTACACTGATAAAATTTCAAAGATTGTTTTTATGTGTACCACACATGAATTTTTGCAATGTGATCAACAAATGATATCTATGTGTCGGACGCATACTTAATATGTGTATACATAAAAGCCATGTGTAACCACACATTTCGATACTCACTTAGTTTTTTTCTACCGAGCTCGGCTGTGCAGATATCGGCAAAAAAGTTTTACTGAGATCTCAGTAAACATTTCATTTGTTTGCTGAGATTCAACTAAGCATTATCCGAGACTCAGCAATCAAATGTCACTTTTGTTGAGATCTCAGTGAAACTTTTTTTGCCGAGATTTGCACAGCCGAGCTCGGTAGAAAAAAAAACTCAGTGTGTATATACGCTATAGAATTTCTTTTATACCCCGTTCACATTACAGCGTATATCACGTGATATACGCTGTCTTGCAATGAGCACTCATACATCTAGTTTTCACTGGAAATCCTATGTATGAGTGCTCATTGCAAGACAGTCTATATTACATGATATAGGCTGTAATGTGAACGGGGTATTAATACCCTGGACAGACTATGGCTTATATCATGTAATATAAGCTATCTTGCAATGAGCACTCATACATCTAGTTTTCACTGGAAATCCTATGTATGAGTGCTCATTGCAAGACAGCCTATATTACATGATATAAGCCATAGTCTGTCCAGGGTATAAGATCTCTAAATGGTGGGTAAAACAGGTTCACAAAATTTAAATATTTGTGTACCATGGAGAGAAATAACAGCAAAGAATCATCAATCAGTGCCAATAGCAGTGTTCGGAAAATCACTATCAGCTATGGGTCATTGAGTCTTCCTGAGAGAATAAACATGCGTAAATCATCCAGCTATAAACCTTCCCGCAGACGTCAATTGGTAGCACGTTTATGCATTTCGTGTTAGTTCTTCATCCACTGAAGCAAATATAACAGCAATATCAACAAAAGGCAACAGCGATTAGTACCTATTCGTTCCATACTCTCCAACTCCAACAAGCCTTTCGATGGACACCAGAAAGAAACAACAAATGGTCATTTACAGGGCCACCATTTGAAAAACAAAAGGCCCTTTTCAGCACAAACGAAGTGACAGACGGAGCTGCTCGAAAACTTTGGTGACTAACCTGCTATTTAATTTTTTTCAGTGTACCACATGGCAACACCACTACTACTGGATTGTACCACATGGCAACACTACTACCGGATTGTACTAGCATTTTCACCAAATGTATTAGAATGTTTTGGTTCTATCTCATTCACTCTACTCAAAACTGAAATGCATAAAAATATGACAAAATGATACACTCTTTGCACACTGTCAAAGAATCATTGTACACAAAATCAACTTTGTTCAAATCAAAACAAAAAAACTAACCCATCTGGTGGATGATGGCACAAGCTTCCAAGAAAATTCTATTACAGTGAACCACATTATTTTAATGGATTTCTTCGCCAGTTAGTCGTCTGTCACTTCGTTTGTGCTTTTCAGGGTCACACAATTGAGCTAAAGGCTCAACATATTTGTTCCGTCCACTAGCGGTCCTACGTCAAGCTTCCGTTCGTGCCCCTAGGCACAAACCATTTTTTTTGGTTTGGTGTTGTGAGATGCACTCGCGCCTAATAGATAGAAATACGATTGATTATGATTTTGAAGATTTCCTGCTAAAAGGTGGAGAGCAATGCAAGTAGATGGGTTTAGATGTAAGAAATGAAATAATAATCGACTCAAATAAATATTGAAAGATACCATTTACCAAGGTTTCTGTCAAGATATTTAGAGGCACATTAAAATACAAAACAGAAAAGTACATTTTCTCACTGCAAACTGAAAAATCTCAGAGGGGGGCGACTTTATCTACGATGCAGGAAAAATAGTGTTTTACCAAATTCTAGTACTACACAATGTTTATTTTGATTTGCTATGAAAGTTTGACAGATAAAATGAGGGGTTCGTGGATTTTCCTATGTTTCGAGGGGTGCATCGATTGACTTGGGACCGAATATAGTACCAGAGCTGAGCCACAAAGTTGAGCACGTTTCTTCGAGACCTACTAGTCTTAGAGGTACCTCTATGGTTTTACTGTGGTTAGCTGCGCGCACGCTGAGTCTCGCGCTGAGTAGATAGAAAGAATATTGATGACGATGCTGAAGATTTCCTGCAAAAAAAAAGATGGGCAATGCAAGTAAATGCGAGACATGAAAGAAGATTTTGCGAAGATTGATACGCTAGTGGGAGACCCTAATAAAAATTGTATGGTTAATTTGCTTAACGACGTGTTCTGGGTATCAACCAAACCATTTGTGGAATAGTTCAATGATTTGGGTTATCGTTCGTGTATGGTTATTTTTTATTAGGGGATTTGTTGAGCATCTATAATTGAGTTTTTTTAGGGGTATTGAGGTAAATACATATTCGTAATCTATGTACATTAAAAATGAAACCAAACATTCTAAATTTCATCAATTTTGGAGCACTGAAACCTCGGTTGAAAGTTTTTCTTTCACCATCGTCATGTAATTTTAAAAGTTCATATTTTGAAAACCAAAATTGTACAACTGGCAATATCACCTCTTGAAAAGCTCATGTTCATGGTCAAAAAAAACAATAGAGCATATCGTGTAAGCATAAAGGTAACGCTAAGACCAGAAGGTCCAAAAAGAAACGTGCTCAACTTTTTGGCTCCAGCGCAGGGCTGAAAGTCTCCTTAATAAAGATATAAAACATTAAAAGTAAAACTTTTTGGCTCAGCTTTGGTCTCGCCTGAAACAACTTAAATTATAAAATTTACATGGAATAATAAAGAATTCAGACATAACAGGGGCAACTATCCCCTTTCCGAAAGTGGTATTGGTTTGTGTGGGCGTACTTTGGTTAGCGTGTAAAGGGCCTTAGAAAGTTTGTTTACAAATGCTTTTGTGCCGTTATCAAATGTTATGCCGAGTGTTATGCCTGAATTGGGTTGTTTAACTTCGAAAAATATACCGATTTTTATGCATCATCTGATAGAGCCGAGGATAGAGCTTTGTTTTCTGAGCACAACGATATTTTTTTTTTATCGATCCTGTAGACATGCATCTCGATTTTTAAATCAAGATTTAAATTTTTGATCGTTGACACTAAATCTGTTCGTTGACAGCTTACTCCCATACAAAGTCCCTACAAGGGGCACTAAGATGGTGATTTGTGTTTATGTAATCGTACCTATTTAAAATAGTTACAGTGTACCAAAATTGATGAAATTTCGGGTCCATTTTTAATGCAGATAACGAATAGGTATTTACCTAAATACCCCTAACAACCCAATTCAAAATTCACTTAATATTTTAATAAATTGTGGTAATTTTTGATTACCGATCAAGCTTGGTAGAAACCCCTCGGCGTGCATTTAGCATGTACCGCTGTGCATAAACAACAATAATCCACAAATCCACACTCTGGCCTACGAGTTGGTCATCAGTCAACCATAGTCCATCAAAGGATCCTCCTTCAAAATGTTAATTTTGACATTTAAAAAAAAAAGTCTAGTTTGAAGAGTAGCCCTCACATATTTCGTAACGTATTGGGTGGGAAGGTCCGGATACTAAATTATTGTAGCATTTCTGTACTACAATGAATGCACGGGGTTATCAGATTCTGAACATAAAGAACATAAAATTACATTTTGCACACATTAAATAAAATTTAGATTTAATGTAAACAGAATTGTGTTGTTTAACTTCGAAAAATGTACCGATTTTTACACATCATCTGATAAAGCTTCGTTTTCTGAGCACAACGATATTTTTATCGATCCCGCCCTAATAAAAAATAACATAAACGAATAATTTCCCAAATCATAGATCTTTTCCACAAATGGCTCGGATGATACCCCGAACACGTCATTATGCAAAATAACCATAAACATTTTATTAGGGCGTAGACATTCATCTCGATTTTTAAATCAAGATTTAAATTTTTGATCGTTGACAGTAAATCTATTCATTGACAGTTCGGTCCCATAGAGCAGTGCACGGTCTTTAACCTCACTTTTTGGTTCCAATCATTTCTAGACCAACAATTGAAATAGGTGGAACAACCAAACGTAAACAATGGCTTTAAACGCAAATTTCTCGAAAATCAAGGTACATCCACGCAATCTAACACCAGCATCTAAAAGAGCAAACTTTTTTTATCGAATGAAATTGTTAGTTTGCGTGGGTGTCTTATGATTCTCGAGAAATTTGCGTTTAAAGCCATTGTTTACGTTTGGTTGTTCCGGCTATTTTAATTGTCGGTCTAGATTTTGTCTCTGAGTAAAAGAGATGCCAACGAATGGGAGCCAAAACAAAACACCCAAAGCTGTTAAAATTGACGGGTGAGAGAAGAGTGTAGCAAATCTTCGTGCACTGATTTATTCAAAGTTCCACCACAGACAAACAGACGTAACTCTTTGAAAAATTTGTTCTTGAAAACATAGTATCTCAAAACATATAACCTCAGTAACGACATCTCTCTGGCTTCTCGCGGAAAACAAGCTTGCTCGCTAACTCGTAATCAATATTGCATAAAAGTTCTATAGAATGTATAGAAACGTCAAAGTGATCCGGTGCCAGCGCTGCGGCGAGTAGTTCGCGGAACTGATAATATTCAAATCAACCGTTAAATGCATGAACGAAGATACACAATGAAGAGTTACGTCTGTTTGTCTGTGGTTCCACCAAGGGGCGCTAAGATGGTGATTTTTGCTAAATTAATCGTACTTATTTTAAACAGTTCCAGTGCACCAACATTGATGAAATTTTGGATTTCAGTTCCATTTTTAATGCAGATACCGATTATGTATTAACCTCAATACCCCTAAACAACCCAATTGCTAGTTCGGTTAAAAAATATTTTTCAGACTTGGAACTTACAGGAGGAGAGCTAAAGTTATAGTACGCAGTTTGTAGGGGCTCCCCTCGGATGACAACAGAGCAGCAGCGCAACATCAGAAAAAGCAGACAATTTTTTTTTTGCTGTTTCGATATGTGATGTGATCATCGTCGTTGTCGTCGCGAGCGAGTGTCAAAAAGAAAATTATTTTTCTGGATTCAAGGAAAAACACGGAACTGGAGTCAAATTTTCGCTAATTTTCCGCGCTTGTGCTGGGGCTTCAATGGTGGCCGTGTGTGGTCGGATCGTTCAGATTCACGGAGAACATTGTTGGGACACTTGATGGACGGAGAAAACCGAGTGCTGCGTATTTGTTTTGGAAAGGGACAGTGATTTTTTGACGGAAGAAGCAAACTTTTTTTTTTTCGGTCGTCGCCGTCGTCGGTTCGGTTGGGGTGCGAACGTCGCGAGATTTTTCTTTCGATTGGCAAGTTTCTGTTTGCAAATTTTCTTGATCGCATTTCGCGTTCAATTCGATTTGATAGTGGACGGTTTTTGCAATAGTGAGTGTGGTGCGATTGCTTTCTGGTTATCGAGTTTGTGCGTTTGTGAGACCTGTTTTATCAGGTTTTGATTGCGTTGGTGTGGAGCCGACCCAAGAGGTGTCATAAGAACGGAGTAAAATCGATCGGTGCTGCAGCAGCTGCAGGCGGAGGGGACCAAAGATAACACACCAAGGTGACAGGTTGATTTTGAGTGAGGCTCTTTTTGGATGGGAGCTTTGGATTTGTTTACAACGAGCATTATTACATTGTAGGACCACATTGGCCGTTTTGCGAATAGGGAATCATGGCAGAACCGAGTGTGCCACCGCCGCAGGAACCTGCTGGGCCGGAACCTGCCGAGGCACCTCAACCCAGCAATAATAATGCTAACAACAACATCAACCGCGGACAGGACGGCCCCCTTCCACCCATTCTGATAAATCCCCGGGGCAGAAATAATGCCCAGGTAAGAAGCTTTATTAGATTATTGGGAAATTTGTTTGCTTTTACGTGCGCCTTCTCTTCTCTTTCTAGAATCCACTGATTAACGTTCGGGATAGGCTGTTTCATGCATTGTTTTTCAAAACGGCCATTGCCTACGCTCAAATGGTTCCAAAGTAAGTTAGTTGAGTCGGAAATGTTTTGCTACGTTTGCATCTTTTGAGCTTCCAATAGGAATGTTTTGTTTTGGTAATTCCGAATAGGTGTCGAATTGGTGCCTGTTCAATTTTTAATCTGAAACATTTTTGTTCGGTTCTTGACTTACATCATTACTGAATCCTCCGTTTTAGGCCCGTTCGTCGTGCCATTGAACTGATCATGTTGCTGAAGGCTCTGGCCGCCTTCTTCATTCTGGTCTACATACATGTGCATTTCTCCCAAACGCCAACAACGTGTCTGGAACACGTCAAAAACGATTGGCCCCGTGATGGAGTTCTACGGTAATCTGCCACTTTCCCCCCTTATATTCAAAATCCTAATTATTGAAATCCTTTCCGCAGAGTGGAAATCATCCGTTACAATCCGATCATTATTGCTGAAGCGAAAAACAAGGACATCAGCTTGGAGGAAGCCGAAGTGAACAATCTGCTGCGAAATAGTCACAAAAATGGGATGATAAGCATTGATCCGTCGACTACGTTGCCCCATGAGCAGCAGGAGCAGAACCAGAATCCGGAGCTGCTGCTGCAAAGCTATGCCAACAGTAGCCCATGGTCCAGTCAGCCACAACAGCACCAATCATCGCATCCGCAGTCGAAAGCACGCTTCGGGAAGGAACTGATGACTTCTCGGGTGGATGGCAGATTTCCGCCAGCAGTGGACGGAGGTGGTACGAATAAAGTAGAAGTCAATGTTCTGATCGAGAGCACTCAGTTTATCGGAGAGGAGGCAAAGATGGAAGTTAGTGAGGATGAATTACCAGTGGGAGAACAGCAGTTGGACGATTCCGGAGGCAACGTGATGACGTACGTCAATGAGACGATTGTGAAGGAAGTGGTAGATCTGGTAGAGGAACCAACGGAGCCGGAATCGAAAGCCGAAGCCAGTGAGTAGTTTGATAAAGGAAGTTTTATGTTTTTTTTCTTCTTTCATATACGATTCTATCTCGTTCCTCAGCTTGGGCCGATGGACAGTATGTCGTGGAGTACTCGCTTGAGTACGGGTTCCTCCGCTTGTCGGCTGCCACCCGGCAGCGTCTGAATATCCCAGTCCACGTTGTCACCCTGGATCCGGACAAGGATAGATGCTTCGGCGATTCCTTCAGTCGGTTCATTCTGAAAGAATTCCTTGGCTACGATGATATTCTGATGGCCTCGGTCAAGGTCTTGGCCGAGCAGGAAGACAACAAGGGCTATCTGAGGAATGTGATCACCGGAGAACACTATCGGTTCGTTTCGATGTGGTTAATGTCCCGCAGTTCCTACTTTGCGCCGTTCTTCATCATGATTCTATTCGTAAGTGATGTGGATCTCTTGTATGTAAGAGGGCTTTTGATGGCTATTCGTTTTCAATTTTAGACCATTTCGATCTCTATGCTGCTGCGGTATTCTCATCATCAAATATTTGTCTTCATCGGTAAGTGATTTATTTCCGAATATAAAACGAACCGTTTTTGCTAAGTGGTTGTAAGATTTTACCGCTCTGTTGAGTTAATACCCAAACAGCATTGAAGCATGTCGAAATGAGTCAGGCATGCCTATTAGCAGGGATGCTTCCCGGTTTTGTTTTAGAATTAGATATAGTTAATGTTTTTTTTTGGTGATGGTTAGCGTGGTAAAACCGCTTGCAAATTTCTAGAAGGTGTTAATTTATTGGTCATCCAGTTTTGATTCCAGTGTTCGGTTCTATTTGCGCAACTATGTTTCATACAAAAGGTTGATTCCCGTCACTTCTCGTAAGTCTCTGTAGGTACGGGAACAAACCTATTGTAACGGTAATTCAATATCGTTGTCGACATTGGGTCATCAGGTACAACCCAACACTAGCAACACTCTACCACAAGATGTGATGAATGCAGTATTTCTAAAAAATATCTGCGTAACTTTGTCGGTATTACAACTCGATAACCTTGCATTAAGACTCTGTGGTGCTTGGTATTGCTTTCAATCAGCGCACCCCTCGTGAGCGAACAGAGAAAAAGAGGAAGTGTGAGAGTTGTAGAACACGTGAGACAATAAATAGCTCCTTGAGATTGTCGATTAAAAACAACAAGTTTTATTCGTTTTATTTATTCGCGGTCCGCGTTCGCGCCCCACATTGGTGGCCCCGACGGAGAAGAACCGACTGGATAACGTTTCCATACATTTCTTCAACGAAAATGGCAAACCCGAACGAAAACGCTGCCGTCGCCGCTGGCGTCGCCGTAAAACTTCCGGACTTTTGGAAGAACGATCCTGTCATGTGGTTTGCACAGGCAGAGGCTCAGTTTGCCCTCGCGAATGTTCTTAGAGACAATACGAAATTTTATCACATTGTTGCCAAAATCGACCAATCGGTCATTTGCCACGTAACGGACTTAGTGTCGAATCCGCCGGCGGAAAATAAGTACAGTGCGGTGAAGAATCGTTTGATCTCGCTTTTTCAAGTGTCTGCAGAAGGAAGGTTGGAACGTTTGCTGAGTTCCTGCGATTTGGGTGATATGCGGCCAACACATATGCTCGCAAAAATGCAAGAGCTGGCAGCAGGATTAAACGTAACCGATGAGCTCTTGAAAATGTTGTTTCTCCAGAGAATGCCCCCAAACGTTAAAGCCATTCTCACCATCAGTGACGGAACTATCGGTAAATTGGCGGAAATGGCCGACAAAATGTTGGAATCTTCGTTGTCGCACGTCGCAGCTGCGTCGATGCCCACTGGAAACAACGATATGGAAGAATTGCGAGGCCAAATCGCGGCTCTCACTACCGAAATTAGGCACTTCAAGGCAAACCGCTCATCCCGTAGCCGTTCGACATGACGTTCGAGTCGAAATGCAAGCGATTTCGAAATATGCTGGTTTCATCGCAAATTCGGTGGTCGCGCTCTCAAGTGTCGAGACCCGTGCCAGTTTAGTAACCAAAAAAACTAAACTCCCGTTCACCCGAATCGGCGGGGGTGGACGGAGCTCCGGAAAGTCGCCGTATTTTGATATTCGATCGTACCAGCAACACAAAGTTTCTTATCGACACCGGTTCGGATGTTTCGATTCTCCCAGCTTCAATTCGTGAGCGTTCGAATGGAACAGCACATTTCGACCTCCATGCTGCAAACGGTTCCAGAATTAAAGTTTACGACAAACGATTTTTCACGGTCGATCGTGGTCTACGTCGAAGATTCAATTGGCGCTTCTTGATTGGTGATGTAGGTGTTGCGATTATTGGAGCAGATTTTCTGGCGTCGTACGGAATCCTCGTCGATCTTAAACACCGACGGTTGATTGACGGACTTACTAAATTATCCTCTATTGGGGGTATAATAGACACAACTGTTCAAACCATAACCGTGGTCGCCCTAGATCATCCTTTCCGAGAATTATTGACTGAATTTCGAGAAGTGACGTTGCCAACTACAATTAAAACAACGATCCAGCACGATGTCACCCACTACATTCAAACGAAAGGGACTCCCATAGCAAGCAAGTGTCGTCGCCTCGCCCCAGACAAACTAGACGCTGCTAAGAAGGAGTTCCAGGTGATGAGTGAGCTGGGTATATGCCGTCCGTTTAGCAGCAGTTGGGCTAGTCCTCTCCATTGCGTCCCGAAAAAGAACGGTCAGTGGAGATTCGTCGGTGATAACCGTGCTTTAAACCAGGTAACTGTTCCAGATCGCTATCCCGTACCACATATCCACGACCTGTTGAATACGTTTCATGGCAAAAGCATTTTCACCACACTGGATCTCGAAAGGGCGTACCATGCTAATGATATGGCGTACAAAGTAGTGTTTTTGTTGAGTTGTGCTGTGAAAATAAATTAATAATTTCGTGTGAAATAGTGGCGTGTGCCGCGAAAGGATTATTCCAACGCGTGCCCGTGGTGTTTTTCTAACAGGATAAGTAGAGGAAAGGTTGCCTAGCAACTAGTTTTTGTTTAATTTTGTATTTCCCCCCCGGCGCGCTATTGATTTGTATAGTGAGCTGTGGCGGTAAAATTTTATTTTGTGTTCTCCTCCCCTGTATATGTCTGCTGCTAACAGTGTTAGCGTTTAATTTGGTAGAATGGATGTGTGTAATGTATGCGAGCAGTCTATTGCTATGAGTGGGCTCCCAGTTACGTGTGTAGGTCCGTGCAATGGAACGTTCCATTTCGCTTGTGCGGCACTCACTAAGACTGCGGCCAGGCTTATAGCAGATAATGCAAATATTCTGTTCAAGTGTGATAGTTGTCTATCAGATCAGAGTTGTGACGAGCAGAATGATCTGATCTCGCGCGTCAAAAGGATAGAGGAAGAGATGAAGAAGGTTTTTCAACTCTCGGACTCGATCACTGGCATGCGAGATCACATTGCTGCTCAGGTGGACATCGCGGTTAAAAGCGGGATGGCAGATATTAGAATAAATGTAAATGGTCTTGAAAATTTGATTTGTGAGAAATTGGATAATATGAAAAGTTCATTTTTTAAAATTGATGCGGAAAACCAATTAGCTGTAAAGAATGATCCGTGCAGTTCATCTAGGACGATTCAGTCGGAATCGGACAAAAATACCAGACGCAAAAAACGTAAATTAGTAATTAGTAATAGTGATCATGATGATGATGTTGTTTTTCAAGAAAATGCGAGTTTTGCGGATGTTGTAAAAAGACATAGTCGTATTAGTCAAAGTAAAACTAATAGTAACAGTAATAGTAAAAGTAACAAACCAGAAAATCGTAAGACTCGTCCAGTCATTGTGATTAAACCGAAAGAGTCCAAACAACCTTGCGAAGATACTCGTAAGTTTTAAAAAACTCAGTTGGATCCAAAAACACACAAAATCAGTAATTTTAGAAATGGTAAAGATGGCTCCATTATTGTTGAGTGTGCAACAGGAGCAAACGTAAGTGATGTGAAAAATGGTATTGAAAGCAATCTGGGTGAAAAATATAGTGCTGTTGTTCCCACTTCGGTGCCAAGATTGAAAATAGTGGGCATGAGCGATCAGTTTTCCTCCGATGTCTTTATTGACTACATAAAAAGTCAAAATGAAGACATCGCTATTAATGATGTAAAAGTAGTGAACATGTTTGAAAATCCACGCTTCACTTATAACAAGTTTAGTGTTGTAATTGAAGTCGATGTCGATACTTATAAATGTTTGTTATGTGCGAAAAAAGTAAATGTAGGGTTTGATCGGTGCTCGATAGTTCCCGCGATTAATGTGTTGAGATGCTTCAAATGTGGAGAATTTGGGCACAAGAGCATGGATTGCAAAAATTGTGATAGATGCTCTAGGTGCAGCCAACAACACAAAACGTCGGAGTGTACGTCAACTGTATTGAAATGTATTAATTGTTTGAAAATGAATAAAGAACGAAAAATGAACTTGGACGTCAACCATGCCGCATTTAGCTCGGAATGTTTGCTCTATAAAAGACTTTTTGATCAGAAGAAAAGCAGCTTGCGTTTCAATAAATAGCAGCCAAGTTCCAGGAATGTGAATCAATTCGATTTTTTATATTTGAATATTGCGGGGTTGTCAACAAACTACGTAGCATTACGTCAGATTGTTGAGAAAAAACGTCCTCTTTTAGTTTTATTATCTGAAACTCATATTGTAGAAACTGAAGCTTTTGATCAGTATAGTATTCCGGGATATATGGTTGCTGCTTGTTTATCACATTCTAGACATACTGGCGGTGTTGCTATTTATGTCAAAGAATCAGTTCAATTCAACCTTCGTACCAACGAAGTTATTGATGGCAACTGGTTCTTGGGCATTACAGTTGTACGTGGCATGAAGATGGGTAATTATGGTGTTTTGTATCATTCTCCCAGTTCTAGTGACCAGCGTTTTGTTGAAGTTTTAGAGAACTGGCTCGAGACATTCCTTGATTCTAGTAAATTAAATATATTGGCTGGTGATTTTAATATTAATTGGCGTGATAACCATAATTCGAATCATTTGAAGCGTTTAGCTGAGTTTTTTAATTTAAAGCAAACGGTAAATGAATATACGCGTATTTCCAGGCACAGTAGAACTTTAATTGACCACGTTTATTCCAATTTTGATTCCATTTGTTCAGTTACGGATACTGATTTGAAAATAACCGATCATGAGACTTTAGTGATTAATGTCTTAGACCATGTTAACGATAACGATAATTTTGTAAAATTGAAGTGCTGGAGGAAATATTCGAAGCAAGCTGTTTCAAACCTTGTTGAGAGAAGCCTGGATTTTCCATTCGCGGACGGTAACTTAGATGAATCTACAGCTGTTCTTAATAACACTTTGAAAACGTGTACCAATCAACTAGTTGAGCAAAAGTTTGTTTCTTTGAAAAACTCGAACAGCTGGTACAATTTGGATCTTTTGCGTCTTAAACGGAAAAGGGACAAATGGTACAAAAAGTTTTGTAGATCTAATAATGACAATCATTGGACTAGGTACACAATCGCGC